GACAGTCAAGAAATATATGAATGAATAGAAACAGAAGGCGAGGATTAGTGCCAACCATTTGTAGTATAGATTGTGGTCCTCGACGCCTGGGCTCACAAACACCAAACCTCCCAAACATAATGATATGGACGCTATGAGCAGACAATAAGTCATTCTTAAGACCCAAACCCATCCGATTCCGTGACCATTACTATACAATCTCTTAACACATCCCCAGTGAAACACTGCTGAGGTTGATATCAAAATGGCGGTCAAAACTATTACCATTGCTGCGGTCATTATGGGATCAGCTATTCTATGATATGTGTTGCCTATAAACCAGTTTTGATTGTCCATTGAATTGACATTAACTCGCGTGTAATATATGATAAAATGGAGGCCAAACACGAAGAATATGGCCGTCTCTAAGATGTTGAAGTTAGTCGAGGGTTTCATAAGAGCGGTGTTTTGGCCGACAAGTGGACACTTGAATGTCTGCACCGACGGACCCGCATCTTCGGGAAGGTATCGGATATAGCTAGTGATGTGCGACTCATATATATTATCAGTGATCACATCAATGACATGTACTTCAGGCACATATAGTTCTCCAACTTTCGAGTCGTGTGATATCCTCAAGTGGTTGACCAGTTTGAGTGATGTCTGTGTTTGCAACAGAAATGGGAAGACTTTCTCTTTTTTCTTGGGTTCCTCTTTGAGTGGCTCTCGAATGCTCTCTAAGAGGAGTCCTTTCGGGACATTGAGTGTCGAAATGATTTGTTTGCTATTATTTAGGAAAACCAGTCGTAAGGATGTGTCGAATTTGAATTGCTTTCGATGTTTACTGTAATATACTTTTATGAGATAAACGTATTTGGCTGTAAAACTGGAACAGTTGTGATGGACAATAGGGAGGCTGTCATAGCTTTTGGTGCGCGGCCTGTATTGCACGACAATTATATACCAAATGAGACCATATATGAACCAAATGATCACAAATAATATGTTGTATATAATAACAATGGTATTGGATTTAGACGTTTCAGGCATTTTGTGGACACTAAATATTCTTTTAATTTCAGTTAATGTCAAATAACGTTCACTTTTCCAATACTTTCAGTGATTCAATAGTATTGAATCAATACTTTACTTTGTATACATTTAATATACAGGTAATAACAATTAGAATATAAAAAGCTCGTGTTCAATATGACCTGTATTATTTTATTCCTATAATGAAACTCGCTCTTTCAACACATTTTGTCCATTTACCGTATATGCCATACAAATGCTACCAAAAATCAGGGAATTTTGAAATATATCGATGAATGCAAGTTTGGATTTCGAGAATTTCCAGAACATTATAAACAATGTTATATAAGTAATGTAGAATATTCCTACATATGTTTTGTACGCTTATGTCCTTCAATTAAAAATTTTATTTTACGGTATATTTTAAAAACAACATTTGGATTACTGTAGTGTATAGTATAGAACCAATGCTCTTTTATTAATACAAAACTCATTTTTATTTTAATTAAAACCATTGAACGTTAGCCTGTGTGAGGCTTTATAGTACCAGTAAAATTGAACTTTCATTGCTCATTCGTCAATGTATTCATATCTCAGACAGTAATAAATCCTTGACTTTATTGTAAAAATGAATTCAAATGTTTCAATTTGTGTTAAACCTAAATATATTGTAAATTAAATTATTTATCGTTTCTTAAGAATCATAAGCAGATCTAAGTTCTCATTGAATTTGTATCATAAGGTGTGATGGTGTGCCAGTTATCTGCGCCATTCAGTGGTGACCCGGGTCTTAGTGGGATCAGTGGACGGGTCGTACGCCTCTATCTTCACATCCAGTGTTTTGCAGAGAAGAGTCATCACATTGTCGACGAAGTCATGGATCACGAGATCTGCTTTAGTGTCGGATTTAGTCGGTTGGAGGTTAACGATGACAACGCGCCCGGAGTTGAGTCGTTGGCACCGGAAGGGCAGAGAGCCGGCCGGCTCTATCTGGAGGGTTGTGCCCAAACATATGGCTAAATCGCATTCACGCGAGTACTTGTCGGCCCACTTCAGCTCATTCTTAGGCAGATCCTGATCCCAGTCGAGGATTGTGTCGCATATGAGTCCCCGACACGGGCGCGACCATCGCATGCACTTCTGGTCCGACACTTTGCAGGCCATCGTAGGGCTGGGCGTCGACCGTATGAACCGGGAGTGACATTGAGTGCACTCGTCTAAGAAGAAGTTGCCGTGAAGTTCGGCGATATGTCGGCGCCGGATGTTTGCCCTCAGGAACAGGCCGTCGATGTTCTGACTGACGATGAATTTGATTGCTTTCGACTTCAGCAGCGATATCAGCGCCATATGAGTGACAGTAGGGCTGCAGTCAGTCAGCGACAGTGCCTTCGCCTCCGGATCTTCTTTGACGCCTTTCTTCTCTTGCGTCCAAATACCGTTCGGACCACTGATTGACACACAAAGACATTGTCAACATATCTGTGTACTGGCCATCAATTGTCGACATAATTACCGAAAGTCGGGAATTCCGGCGGAAGTGCTGATACCGGCGCCACAGTAGACGACAACACACTTGGATTGTGTCAACCATTTGGACAGTAACTCCACTTTGGACTCAACCTCTTCGGGAGATTCAAAGATCTGCAAAACGGATCAAAATGAGTATCAATTGAATAGTTTCAGTGAGGATCAGATACTCTACGACAAAAGGCATACTTCTTGTAGACCACAAACGCCTTTATTCTCATAGTCTGACAATCCTTTGGCATAATTGGCAGACATTTGGCGTAAATATTATGACTAAAACACTGCTTATAATAATCTAATCACTAATGAGTGTATGAAAGGACTAAATGTTTGTTTACTTAACGTTATAATAATTACAACAAATATTTAATTACATAATCAAATCAAATGCCTGTGTTTTTGCGTCAAAACAATTCAGTCACACAAATAACGTCTGTTTTCCACTTTAGGCCCACTTTTGATGCCAAATGTGTGACAAACGGTTGAAATGAATGGAAAAGAGAAATGTTTGTAAAGTTTGCCCACAAGTGAGTCATTGATGAGTCGGTCGATGAGTTTTGAGTGAATGTAATACAAAGACTGCAAACGATTTGTAGACATTTGTTGACAACTAATCAATGCTTTACGCGTGAAATGTGCGAACAATTAATCGCGATTTGAATCAACAATTGGACGGTTTGTGTCACTCATTGGCAGCGTTTGTCTCAATGAGTCGCGTATCCAATGAATGCCACCTTTGAGTGCAACCCACGAGTGAAAGCCATTCATTGACTCTGAGTTTCGTTTCGTTAGACTTGTAGTCAGTTTGCAGAAGTGTTTTACTAATTAATGTCCGATTGATGTCTTCGGAGGAGATCCCGGCCATGACATCGGTGTCGGCCGCCAATGGCGGTGACGGCGAGGGGTTGGATGCTTTGGAGGGGTTGAGAGAACTCGAGAAATTGATTTCAGAGGCAAAGGAGTTTGACACCAAAGACAAGATCTCTTTCAATGGCAACAAAATGCTGAACGACTTGTTGGACAAACCCATTGGTCTCAAGAGTGACGCCACGGATGAGCCGCAAGAAGACGCCGACGACGAGGAAGAAGTGTCCGAAGAGGACGACATTTCGGGCGACGACGAGGAGGAGGACGAAGAAGAGGACATTTCCGTCCAAAAGGGAACCAAACGAACCGCTGATGACATTGACTGCGAAGACAGTGAAGAGGAAGATGTGAAGCATGAAGACAATCAGTCATCACATAATGATTCAAATATAAAGTCTAAGAAAAAGACTAAAAACCCAAAGAAGGAGAAGAAAGAGAAGACAAAGAAGAAGAAGAAGAAGAAGTCATCGAATCCGACGCTCCGGAAGAATATAAAGACAATTCTGAATGAATCGGATTTAGATAAAGAGACTCAAAGAGCCCGAAAGGAAGAGGAGGAGAGGATTCAGAGACAGAAAGAGCGCTCTCACCAACGGTTACAAGAGATTCAGTCACAACACAATCAGTCACTTAATCACTCAAACAATGGCTTCTTTTCCCAGAGGTTTGTGTCAATCACTTCTGTCATAGTTTTTGATGTAATCTATAATTATTATCTGCTTTTCGTCTTAAGATTTGCCGAAATTCCAGACGAAGTCCCAGAAGTGCTGTTAAGTAGTGATGAGGACGTCAAACATACGCCTCGAAAACAAATGCCATTCAATGGCCATACCTCAGGGTCTGCTGAAGTGATAGACCTGTCATCCGGTGATGACGAGACCACAGCAACTAATAACGGATTATTAGATCTAAGATCTCTAGAATATAGGAATAGTGGCGTTAATTTAGACTATAATATGGTCGACGCCTACGATGACAACGACGTGTCCATCATTGACAACAACACCAATGGCTATGACTGCGAAAACAACTTAGAAGACGTGAATAACTGCGGGACGCATACCGATGACTCTCTGAACACACCGGACGGTGAGGGCCGAGTGTTGGTCAATGTGGCGCACCCTCCAGAGGACCCGGATATCTATTTGCCGCCACAAATCGCGCGATCAGTGAAACCGCACCAAATCGGAGGCATACGCTTCCTCTATGACAATGTCATTGAATCGCTCGAGAGATATAAGAAGTCCGCGGGTTTTGGGTGTATTCTCTCGCACTCCATGGGTTTGGGCAAAACAATGCAGGTCTGCCACCCGTACACCCATTAAATGCCTTTCCATTGTTTCTAATGGATATTTGTGATGATTTTCAGGTCATTTCATTCATCGATGTCTTTCTAAACCATACGGACGCTAAACACGTCTTATGTATAGTCCCTATAAATACTCTCCAGAATTGGATCTCAGAGTTCAATATGTGGTCACCAGAAGACGGAACGATTGACAAGTACTTCAAAGGGAAGACCGGCGATGAGGTTACGTACAGAACATTCAAAGTGTTTGCAATAAATGAGGCCAAATGTATGACAACGAGAGCTAAAGAGATCCTAAAGTGGCGTAACTTTGGAGGCGTTTTGCTGATAGGCTATGAAATGTACCGAATTTTGACTTCAGATAACCGGACAAAGTCTAAGAAGGATGAAGACATTGACCCCAAAATAATGGACAGCATTAACACTGAAGTGAAGGCAGCGATTGTAGACCCGGGACCTGATCTGGTGGTGTGCGATGAGGGCCACCGCATAAAGAACTGTAACGCAGCCACGAGTCTGGCCCTCAAGAATATTAAGACAAAGCGGCGAATAGTGATGACGGGATACCCCCTCCAGAACAGGCTAATGGAGTACTGGTGTATGATTGACTTCGTGCGCCCCAACTATCTCGGACTCAAGACTGAGTTCACTAACATGTTTGAGCGCCCCATCACTAACGGCCAGTGCAGTGACTCCACCCCATACGACCGACAGATCATGAAATACAGGGCACACGTGTTGTACCAATTGCTCAAAGGCTTTGTTCAACGGTTTGTGTCCAATGAATGTGTGTTATATTTACGGTACCAATAATTTGCGTTTATTTTCAGACGAAGTCACTCTGTCCTTCAGAAAGCACTTCCAGTGAAGTGGGAATACGTTCTTATGTGTCGTATGACTCCCATTCAAAAGGATCTGATGATTGCATTTCTCGACACCGCTATTAAGGATCCGGACTCTCTCGGGACAGTCAAGGGTCGCATCTCGACGTTAACCCTGTTTGCCGTGTGCTGTAAGATCTGGAATCATCCGGATATCGTCTACGATATCACACGCAAAGGTATTACAACAGATGATCTCGATATCGATTTTCAGCCCAAGAATAATAGCAAGAAATTAGCGAAAACTAATCGGCGGAAGAAACCAAATAACGAATTGACGCCGAAGTCCGAAACGGATGGCTTGTTAGCGAAAGCCAATCCTTACAGCGATTTGATGAACAGTTTGTTCAGTACTCCATTGCGTCCCAAGAATAATGACGGTGTGATTGACTACTCGTGGGCTGAAGACAAACTCCGCGGCTATGCTGTCGGTCTCTTTGAGCACTCATACAAAATGTTGTTATTGTTTGAGATAATCCGCGAGAGTATGGCATTGGGTGACCGGCTTCTGGTGTTCAGTCAGTCGCTGATGACATTAGACTTAATCGAGCGCTTCCTTCAGTCACAAGACGTGCCAAAGACACGCACGAAATGGGCGAAGAATGACACGTATTATCGGTTGGACGGCTCCACCTCTACTCACGAGAGGGAGAGATATATTAATCTGTTTAACAACACGACAGACGCGCACCTCTTTCTCATATCGACGCGCGCCGGTAGTCTTGGTATCAATTTGATTGGTGCCAATCGTATCGTTATATTCGACGCCTCGTGGAACCCCTGTCACGACGCACAGGCAGCCTGTCGTATATACCGTTATGGACAGGTAGTTGTCATACTATTAATTGTTTGTTTACAATATTGACATTTACTGTGAATTACAGCCAAAGCCGTGTTATATCTACCGTTTGGTATGCGATAACTCATTGGAGAAGAAGATATACGACCGACAAGTGAACAAACAAGGGATGGCTAACCGTGTGGTCGACGAGCAGAACATTGAGGCCACCTTCACATGGAAGGAGATCAACGGACTTCTGGACGACTTGCATCACATCCAGGAGCCGCCCATTCAGGTGTTCACTGACCAGCAATTGTCGAAATTGGACGACGAGTTGATCCGAAGAATATGCGTCAAACAGAACCACACGATAACACGCCTTCCCTTCGAACACGAGTCCCTTCTGTTGGACCGAAAGGAGCAGAAGTTGAGTTCGTATGAGAAGCGCATGGCTTTCGGGCACTACAACGAAGCCAAAAGAGCCAAAGCCGGCAACTTTGACCTCTCGTCGTCGCCCTTTGCAGCCCTCAGAACTGGCGGTGGCTTTGGCGGCAGTTTTCCCAACTTTGGTTTGCCTTACAATATGTCGACGCCTTCACTGCCCTCTCAGATAACTCCGGCGCCGCAGTTCTGCTTCAATGGCGGCGGCAATTCATATCCCGATATCTCGCAACCTCTGCCCCCATACCCGCCACCGCCTAGAGGTCAGTCATCGCAACAATTTGTGAACTTTGAGTCCATTGCCCAGCATTTGGTGCAAAATGGAAATTCGGTCAAAAAGGTTAGGGTTCCCAACGACTTGTCCATTAGTGTCGGTCCCAACACTAAAGTCAGTATTAAGAAAGGCGAAGAAGTTATGGTCATTCAGACACAGAAGGGAACGTATTTGAGAACAAATGAGGGAAACATTATCTCCATTAAGAACCCGAATTCAGCCTTTTCTGCACAGACTTTGCCCGCATTTATAACGAATCCAAACGATTCCTTTGGCGTAAGTTCAAGAATACTATTCATGCGAATGCAGATTCCCTTTCATCCCATTGTTTGACTTTTTATTCAATGAACAGATAATTCAGCCAAACCTGGGATGTGGAGGAACTGTGCACTATATGTCACCCTCTCATTCACGCGTGTCCTCCACTGTATCGCATCCTCCAGAAGTGGTCCAATTGAGTGACGACGACGACAGTCGGGACAGCAAAGAGATTACTTGTAATATAAACTCGACATTAGACTCGACACAAACCCTGAGCACAGCTACAGAGCCGTCTTTCTTAGCCAACGGATCGATGGATGGATTCAATCAATTCATGCCATCGGAGCCCAAAGAGGAGAACCAATCATTACATTCGACACAACATTTAAATGAAGACATTTATAACGATTTTGGTCTCAATTCATCGCAAACACAACTGCCGTTTGACTCGATATTGGAGTCTCCGGTGAACACCTCGTCATTAGAGTCCGAGTCCGCTATGGAGACGAACACCCCTTCACTGTTCACCACAACTCCGACGACGCCTTCATCTCAACTCAACGAAAGTGCTCTCAATTTAGATGCTTTCGATTTAATGAATACTTAACTAATTTGTAAATTTATAAATATATTTGTTTTATAGGATTCATATTTAACGCATGTGTTGTTCAAATATATATTTAATATTAAAGCAAAAAACTATTAAAATATAAAGCAATTATAGTATCGATTGAATAAAGTATTGAATTCATTGTAAACGAAGTTAAAAAATAAATGCCAAATATTTTTCCTCCACTTTTAAGTATATTATACGAAACGTATTACTAATATGTGTTTCATTAACTGATCACTTTATACGTAATGATTTGTAAACAGATTATTAGTGTTACTATTGGTTTAAATGACCAATAATTCAGTTCTTGTGATCTGTCGTTAAGACTATCAGAAGGTTAGAAGACGTATTGGTTAGTCCTCAATGTCAACCTCAGGGACACTCAACTAAACTCAAAACTACTTTCCTTACTATCTTTATGTGTAAAAAGCTGTTTTAAAGTATAAATCTCGTACACTATTAGGCGATAAAAGTTTTAAAATTAGATTCATTATTAAAAATAAAAGTTTAATTAGGTAGTATAGTTAATTCCAAACAATAATATTTAAAAAATGTTTATAAAAACAAGTCATGTTTTATGTCATTCTTATAAATAACTTTTTTTTTAGTAATTTGTATACAATAAATATAAAATCTTTTAAGAAATACACATTTAAATTGATTAAATATTTTAATAACTTAGTTTAAATCTATCTTGAATAAATAAATGTTTGTCACATTAGGTGCAAAATTACGACAACATTCCTAAGAAGCCCTCCCATTCCGTACCCCAGGAATTGACAAACAATCTCATGATAGGCTAACCATTGGCTGAATTCTAAGATATTTGAAAAGATAAATAAGAGCTGATATTCAGGTCACTCAACATTTACTTGAATTAGAAAATTGTATTTTTTCGAAAACATTTAAATTCAAAACATACAATCGCTAAAATATCAAAAGTATTCAATTTTGATTCAATTAATTTTACTTTAAACTTGTTTTTTAATCATCGATTAACTTTAAAAAGTACTGAATTTCTAGAAGTTTACGTAAACGTCGAATCTATTAGTGAGAGTGAAGTTGTCATTAGTTTTATACCTAAGTAAGAAAACTAATAACTACAATGAATGGCAACATGGTCACCGAAATTAATAATTTAAAAGTAATTATTTATCTCGAAAATGTTTTTAAATTTCTAAATCCAAAATGAATAAATTATTTATTTATGTTTAGTATTTATCTGGTTTTGGAAATGAATTTGCCAGTGAAGATAGTCGGTGCCCAAATTCACTCCCAATAGGACAGGTATTTGATAAGAAAAGATTTAAACCAATAAACTAAAACTGTTTGATAAATTAATAAAAAATTAAACCATAAGAATACCCCACAAGTGTGCCCCTATGGCCTATATGCTGAACAACTATCGGGAACTGCTTTCACAGCACCCAGGGATCAGAACGAGAGAGCGTAAGTGAATATAATTTTATATAATTATAAAAGTTTTCTTAATAATTAGTTATATATTTTCAAAACAGGTGGTTATATCGGATCCGGCCATCAGTTATTCACAGCCCATTCAAAGCATACAATGGAAGTAACCTAACCTCCAATTGGGACCAAATTGAACCGACACCTAATCAGTTGCGATGGAATCCATTCAAACTGCCCGAAGATAATAATAAAGTGGATTTTGTGGACGGTTTGAACACCTTATGCGGTGCCGGAGATCCGAGGGCTCGCAACGGAATCGCTGTTCATATTTATGCCATCAATAGTCCGATGAAAGACAAGTGTTTCTACAATTCTGACGGAGATTTCCTTATTGTCCCGCAAACAGGAAAACTGTTTATAACCACAGAATTCGGAAGAATGGAAGTCTCGCCCAACGAGATCTGTGTTATTCAACAGGGAATGAAGTTCTCGGTGGACGTCAACCAGCAATCCCGGGGTTATGTCCTCGAAGTATACGACAATCACTTTGTTTTGCCTAATTTAGGGCCCATTGGAGCCAACGGTTTAGCAAATCCAAGAGATTTCTTAACACCGACCGCTTATTATGAGGACAGACTCTGCGACTATAAAGTTGTCAATAAGTTTATGGGAAAGTTATTTGTGGCACAACAACAGCACAGCCCGTACGATGTGGTCTCTTGGCATGGAAATTATGCACCATATAAATATGACCTCGCTAACTTTATGGTCATTAATTCTGTCTCATTCGATCACGCTGTAAGTCTTATAGAAATTTTCATAACTACTCATTAAATATCTATTCAATCCTTAGGATCCATCAATCTTTACAGTACTCACGTGTCCATCGGTTAAGCCGGGGGTTGCGATCGCAGACTTTGTAATATTCCCGCCCCGTTGGGGAGTGTCTGACCACACATTCAGACCCCCATATTATCATCGCAACTGCATGAGTGAGTTCATGGGTCTCGTGTACGGCTCATATGAGGCCAAAGAGGGAGGCTTTAGACCCGGGGGCGCGAGTCTGCACTCAATGATGACACCCCACGGACCTGACGTCGAGTGCTTCCAAAAGGCAACCAACGCTCAACTCAATCCACAGCGAGTGGCCGACGGGACTATGGTTTGCATTGTTTTTGTTGTGACTTTTGTTTCACTTTATTATTATTTATTTGTTTATTTCTACGGTTAAGGCTTTTATGTTCGAGAGCTCCTTAAGTTTAGTGACCACTGAATGGGGTCTGAAATCGTGCCAAACATTGGATGAAAATTACTACAAGTGTTGGTCTGATCTTAAAAGTAACTTCAGTTCAGAAATTAAACAAAAATAAGTTTTTACNGTTCGAGAGTTCCTTAAGTTTAGTGACCACTGAATGGGGTCTGAAATCGTGCCAAACATTGGATGAAAATTACTACAAGTGTTGGTCTGATCTTAAAAGTAACTTCAGTTCAGAAATTAAACAAAAATAAGTTTTTACCCATTTCTACAGTATTTTAAAGTAAATTTTTAAAAAAGAATCCAGATTCATGATATATTTTAATATTTTTTACTTTATTGTATTGATTTTGTTGTATCATACTAGCTATTTGACTTTTATTTGGATTTAAAATCTATTTTTATTATTAAACATTGTTTACTAAAGAACTTTTCTATTTTTATTCACAAAATTATATTTAAACTATTTCCCTATACAGTATACTGTACGGTATGTAATTTATATTGTATAATTTAAACACTATGTCGGAAGATGACCGACTATGGCCAGAATTTATTGAAATTTTAAACTTTAACTAACCTTTCAATATAATATTGAAATATCTAAAAGTTATTTTTCTAACTTTAACCACTAATGAGCTAGAGTGATTTTTATTCTCGAATTTCAAAATTAAATTCCTGGATAACGACAAAAGATTTTTAAATGGTTTCTTCACTAAATTATACAGATTTATAAT